CCTGGAGACCCACACCCCCATAGGGAACAGTCCTGCAAGGCCAGCATGTTTCTGCTCTGTCATGCCCAGAGACAGAATGTCCTCAGGAACCATTTCACAGTCCTATTGGCACCTCTCAGCTACTTACACTATGCCCATGGCTGGTCTTTGCGTTTTGCATGATGTCATTCTAGGCCAGCTCTATGGCTATGGCAGCTGTTTTTAGTTTTGAGGTCACTTCTGCTGGAGACTCTTACAGTGCAGTGCTAGGCCCATAACTCCTCCTTGAGCTTGTGAGGTTACTGGTGCACCAGGAGAGGCTCTGGTCTCTTGGCAGCTGTTTGTACTCTTCTGAACTCTGATCTGCCACAGCTCTTTGTGCTTGTGTTCACTTCGATCTCTTAGCCTTGGCCACTGCGTATCATTTAGCCGAGCTTTTTAATTGTGAGGTCCACTTTCCCTCATTTCCTTAGTGGCTATTGCAAGTCATGTAACTACCATTTACATCATTTGTCATTTGAGGTCATTTGTTCCACGGTACCTTATTGGCTGTTGCAGACTACGTGGATGCTGTTTGTGGTTTTGAGGTGACTTGTTCCTCAGTGCCTCATTGGCTGTTACATCACTTGACTGCTCTTTGTACCTCTGAGATCACTTGTTCAATAGTGCATCATTGCCTATTGTGTGTCATTTGACTTCTAATTGTCTCATGAAGATGGTTATTTCTGACTGTGGGGTACCTTTGAGCTCTAAACTTGATAGGCACTGTTGGACTCTTAGTAGCTGTTTTTGCTTCTTAGCTCAGATATGCTCACTTATTTGCTGGCCTTTCTAAGTCATATCTCTGGAGCCTCAATGAGGCACACATACTTGCTCATTGTGGGAATGAGATACTGTTGCTACCCACATGGCTGCTCTTTGTGTTTCTGAGGTCCCTCATTCCGCAATGCCTTGTTTGTTGTTGTGAGTCACGTGGCTGCTTCTTGTAGTGTGAGGACACTGGTGCCTCAGTGCTATCCTTACGGCCCCGCTTTGTCGCTGTGAGGTCACTTGTGTCTTGTGTCCTGATTAATAGACCAATGGTGGTGTCTTGGTAGTTCTTTGTACTTCTGAGCTCAGATCTGCCCCAATGACTCGCTTCCATTGCAAGTCATGTGACTGCTCCTTGTGGCTGAAAGCTCACTGGTACCTGAGTGCGTGATAGGACAGTGCTGGTCCCTTGACTGCTATTTCTGCTTATGAGGTCACTTCTTCCTCACATCTGTGTTGGCTATTGCATTTCGCTTGGCTGCTATTTGTGGTTCTAAGGTCACTTCTTGCATAATGCCTTATTGGCTGTTGTGAGTCAGGTGGCTGCTTCTTGAGGCATTGAGGTCACTGGTACCTCTGAGCTATCCTTATGTCTCCACTTTGTTGCTTTGAGGTCACTTGCGCCTTTTGTTCTGTTTCACCAGTGGTGATGTCTTGGTAGCTGTTTGTGCTTCATAGCTCAGAAGTGTCTCAACGACTTGCTGACTGTYGCAAGTCACGTGGCTACTCTTTGTGTTTGAAAGTTCCCTGGTGCCTCAGCGCCTGATAGGATAATGCTGGACACATCCACTTTATAGGTGTGTGGCGCATTGCAGTTCTAATCCTGATAGACCGCCACTGATCACTTGTTTCCTGTGAGTGCTTCCGAGATCACTTCTGCCTCAGTGCCACATTGCCATTGTGAGTCATGTGGCTAATGCTGTTTATTCGGCAGTCATTTGTGACATATTGCTACTCTTATGCTTCCACATTGTCATTGTGGTGGCACTTGTGACTTACTTCATGAAGGTTGCTCCTTCTGCAGTCAGCAACTGCGCACGTTCACTCCTTCCRCTGTCCTCACAGCACAAACTTTTTCTTCTTCTACAAGGTGCAGGAGGCAGATCACTGCTTTTTCTCTAAYGTGCTGAATAAGTAACCTGAACGTTCTCTGGTGCAACTTGAGGATATTTCCTGTTGTCCTAGTGGTAGTTATATTGCAGAAGACATGGAACACTTCCTCAATACAATCTCCTTTAACGCAGTTGTAGAGAGCGGGAAGGTCTGAGGACAGTGTGTGAGGTGTGAGGCCTGGGAAGACTGCACGAAACSCCAAATGGTCCCCGAGGCCAGATGGGCAGGGAGGCCTGTGGAGGCCACACAGAAGCCTGGAGGGCCCCCAGGGCAAGGAGTGCACGTAGGCCCGGAGAGACTGCGTGAAAGCCCGCAAAGGGCCTGAGGTCATGTGCGCACAAACGGCTGTGGATGACGCATGAAACACCAGAGATCCACCAGGACCACGTGGGCACGGAGGCCAGGGGAGGCYGCACGAAAGCCCGTGGGGGCTCCAGGCCCAGGTGCGCACAGAGACCTGGAGAGGTTGCATTAAAGTTGGGAACCCACAGTCATTCGTGTGGCCTCCCTGCGCCTGCGTGCGCACGTCATTCCAGCAGCCCTGYGGGGATTTGTTTGTTCTCCTCAGTCCTCCGTGCAGAGCTGGTCCCTGTGCTCATGAGGACACTGGGGTTCTGTCGGCTTTCGTGCTGCCTCCCCGGGCCTCCATGTGCACATGACCCTGAGGTCTTTACGGACTTTGGTGCACCTCTCCGAGTCTACTTGTGCACATGGCACCAGGGGGCCCTGCAGGCTTTCATGTGGCCTTCCAGGCCCTCTGTGCACAGCAGAACCCGGGGACCCTGTGAACTTTTGTGCGGCCTTCGCCAGCCTCCGTGCACAGCTAGCTCCCCGGGCCCTCGGGACTTTCATGCAGCCTCCATGGGCCTCCGTGCRCAGCTGGTTCCTCGGGCATTCTGGGCTTTGGTGCGGCCTCCCCAGGCCTCCGTGTTCAGCTGGCTCCCAGGACCCTCCATTCATTCATGCGGCCTCTCCAGGCCTCCATGCGCAGCTGGCCCTCTGGGCCCTCTGGGCTTTCATGGGGCCTCCCCGGGCCTCTGTGCACAGCTGGGCSCCCRGACCGTTCGGGTCATTTGTGCGGCCTCCCYGGGCCTCCATGTTCAGCTGGCYGCCCGGGCCCTCGGGACTTTTGTATGACCTCCCCGGGACCCCATGTTCAGCTGGCCTCCAGAGCCCTCGGGGCTTTCATGCGACCTCCCCAGGCCTCTGTGCGCAGGTGGCCCCCCGGGCATTCCAGGCTTTCAGGCGACCTCCCCAAGCCCTCCGTGTTTAGCTGGCTACCTGGGCCCTCTGAGCTTTTGTGCGGCCTCCCGGGGCCTCCGTATTTAGCTGCCCCCCGGACCCTGAGGTCTTTCGTGCGGCTTCCCCGAGCCTCCATGACCAGCTTGCCCCTCGTCCCTCAGGGTTTTCGTGTGAATTCCCCGGGCCTCCGTGCGCAGCTGGCCCACCCGTCCCTCTGGTCTTTTGTGCGGCCTCCTCGGGCCTCCATGTGCAGCTGTACTCCCGGTCCTTCTGGTCATTCGTGCAGCCTCCCCAGGCCTCCGTGTTCAGCTGACTCCCCAGGCCCTGTGGTTTTTCCTGTGGCCTCCCCGGGCCTCCGTGCACAGCTGGCTCCCGGGTCCTCCGGTCATTCATGCGGCCTCCGCCAGCCTCCGTGCGAAGCTGTACTCCCGGGCCCTCCCGTCATTCGTGTGGCCTCCCCAGGCCTCCATGCAGAGCTCAAATCCCGGGCCCTCCAGTCATTCRTATGGCCTCCCTGGGCCTCCGTGCGCAGCTCTACTCCCGAGCCCTCCGGTCATTCGTGCGACCTCCCCGGTCCTCYGTGCGCAGCTGGCTCCCGGGCCCTGAGGTCTTTCATGCGGCCTCCCCRGGCCTCCATGTGCAGCTGGCCCCCCAGGTCCTCAGGTCATTCATGTGGCCTCCCCGGGCCTCCTTGCGAAGCTGTACTGCCGGGTGCTCTGGTCATTYATGCTGCCTCCCYGGGCCTCTGTGCACAGCTGTACTCCCGGACCCTCCGGTCATTCGTGCGACCGCCCCGGTCCTCCGTGCACAGTTGGCCCCCCGGGACCTCGAGTCATTCATATGGCCTCCCCYGGCCTCTGTGTGCAGCTGTACTCCCGGACTCTCCGGTCATTCGTGCTGCCTCCCCGGGCCTCCGTGYGCAGCTGTACTCCCCAGCCCTCCGGTCATTCGTAAGGCCTCCCCGGGCCTCCATGTTCATCTGGCTCCTCGGGCCCTMCAGGCTTTCATGTGGCCTCTCAGGCCTCCGTGCAAAACTGGCCCCCGGGCCCTCCTGGCTTTTGGGTGGCCTGCATGCACAGTTGACCCCCCAGACCCTCCGGTCATTTTTGCGGCCTCTCTGGGCCTCCATGTTCAGCTGGCTCCCCAGGCCCTCGGGTGTTTCGTGCGGCCTCCCTGGGCCTCCGTGCGCAGCTGGCCCCCTAAGCCCTCCGGGCTTTCATGCGGCCTCCACGGGCCTCCTTGTTCAGCTGGCTCTTTGGGCCCTTCAGCCTTTTGTGCGGCCTGCCCGGTCATCCRTGCGCAACTGGCCCCCYGAGTATCACCCCTTTCTGCTGGTTTTGGTGGCTTTTGTGTTTGCAAGTTTTGGGTATTTGGGGCGCTTGGGAAAGCGAGGCTGGAAGGGATCCAGCCGGTGTTTTCTCAGAGAGCAACATGGCTTCCTAAGAGCACGGGTGGCACGGCCCTCGTCCTCCAGCAAGGAGTGCTCCCTGCAGAGGATGATGCCGTGAGGCCGCGATGTGCGTGCAGGTGAAGCACCTCCTTGTGATGGGAGGGGAGGCTTCTCCCCAGGATGGAGCCYGTCCCCTCTGTGARGCCCCTGTGATAYTGGGGAGGCTGCAGGGTGTGTGGGGGTGTTGCTGGCTGGGGAACCAGGGCGTCTTCTCCGGCTCCTTCCAGCAGCCTCCCAGCRGAGGGGCAGCGTGACCGGGACCATCCCTTGCTGCAAGAGACCAGGCAGTGCAGCATGCTTTGATGTGGTCTTACACTCATGGCGTTGGCCTCAGTGGCTGAGATGCGGGCAGTGACAGAGCCCCGCTTTTGCCCGACTGTCCTAGGGCTGCAGTGTGGGAGCAGAAGCTGCCTGTTGCGCCTAGCTAGACTCCTCTAAGTCACTGATGAGGAACTTGTCCTTTTCCCGGAGAATCCTGTAGAGCTGCTCTTGGGCCTTGCAACCTTTTCTCTCAACGAGCTCCAGCAAAACTCTGTTCCTCTTTTGACTTAGCTTTTAGTTTTGGCTTAGCACCTCTTCTTCATCGCTGTTGATAATGTTGGCAGTTTGCAAGTGCAGCAGGATTGGGGGGATCCTCCCCGTGCGACAGCAAAGCTCCTTCTTGTGTTTCTTTAGAAAAGAAAAACAATCTGAACCTTTATAGCTTTGCCAGCATAGTTTTGGAGGTGAGTCATCTATCTCATGTTATTTATTGGGATGTATGTCATGAGGTATCTTTGTCATTTGTGGTCAGTGCAACTTACTGCTCCTATGGCTCTGAAGACAGATTCTGTCTATTAAGACAGATTCTGGTAGCAGAGCTGGAGGTGGAGACTTGGATATTTTGCRATTTCACTGCAGAAAAGAAACAATCATCTCACTTACTTCAGGTGTTATCTCCACATGCGACGTACTAGAGACTTGGTAAATGCAGCCAAAGAACAGAGGATTGAGGGGAGAAGGCTTGGGAATAAGCTTTGAGTTCCAGTTCATTTCTTGCCTTTCAATGGCCTGTAAATGTCAAGCATCGCTTTTGAGAGATACAAAAAGGAGCTATGAATTGTACGGCGCTCTCACTGCCCTTCGAAAATGGAGAGGATTAAGAGCCTGACCTACGAGATCGCCAGCGAATGTGTGTTGGAGGCAACGCTGCATTTGGGGAGCCCCCTCACTTCTGCCCACCAGCTACTGCCAGGACCTCACCTGGAATACAGGTAATTCAAGGTCGCTGTGAGTCAGGGTAAGGACCTGCACAAAACGGGAGAACACGGGGTACTCAGCCACCTACGGCTGCACATGGCAGCAGCCAGCAGTTCCTGAAGCTGCTCTGCTCCATATGCAGAGAAGCAACCTGTGCAAGAGCTCACCTCCTGCCAGGACACCTTGCTCCAGCTGAAGGCACAAAGAGTGATTGCTGGAGGTATGCACGAGAGAGGGGCTGAGGAGGCAGGAGCAGGGATGGTGTCCCGAGGTAGGAGCTGATCGCTGGTGCATAGGGACAAGAGATTGTCTGCATTAGAGGGTGGTGGCATTCTCAGTTGTAGAAATAAGGAACTTTTTGAGTTCCTCAAGGGGTTCTTCTGCTCTGCASGGAATGGTGGCCTGTAGCAAAGTCACTTCGGGTTCAAAAAGTCTGAGATGGGAACTTTGGACCATGAAAATCCTTAGACTGCAGCCACGCAGTGCAGCATCCTGTGTACACATGTCACATCACCAGGTACCAGCAGGAAAGCGGTGACTGCTTTAGGAGTCCTCCTGGGTTTTGATCACCAGAGCAGCCTGAACTGCAAGGTGGCATCCCTAGCACATGTCCAGCACTGCAGTCGTGACTGCTTCCTTTGGCAGAGAGTTCTGCTGCTGCTCAGTCAGCCTCATTCTGTACCTTTGAAGTTCTTCACACTTTGCTGTTAACCTGACCGGTAAAACTTAATAAATTAAGGTAATCACATGATTTTGCTTCATACAGCTGTGTCAACAGTGTGCAGGCCCACTTTCGGCTGACACAGTGGTGCTTGTCAAGTCTTGGACGGGAGGTGGAGCCATGCAGCAAGAAATGTCTTTTGTGGCATGTTCTGCATCAGCAGAGAAGAGGGCGGAGGTTTGCCAGGAACAAATGTGTGTGCTGCTCTCACAGGGGCCTTGCAGCCCAGCCAGACCCCTCTGCGATGGCTCTGCTCTGCTGTGCAGTCCAGCCCCAGCTCAGCACTAGGGAGCTTATGGGGAAGAGAAATAGAGGATGTGAGAACAAAGCAGGAGCTGGGGCTGTGGTGACGGGGAAGGGACCATTGCAAAAGTTTAGCAAAACATGTGTGAAGATTAACAAAAGGTTGAAGAACAGCAAAGCAAAGTGGAGGAATACGAAGGAGCTGAGGGGAAGAAGAATTTGGCCCCAAACCTGTCTGGACAGGTCCTAGRGCACCTCCCTGAGGAGTCATCTTTCTGAATCACTGCATTGGGCAAGCCCCTTTCAGAGCAGATGCTGAAGGAGTTYCATGGGTGAGGGGACAGGAGATCCGTGGATGGCCTGAGAGAAGGGGGTCAGGGAGAATTGCTGTGGCTGAGGGCAATGGAGGAGTTGAAGGAAGCACATCCCCAGAGCTGCCCTACCTGCTAGGCACACAAAGTGGGGGAGATGCACAGCACGAACGGCTCCTGGCTGCGCTCTGATGGAGAACAAGGGTCCTGCAATCGCCCATTCCTCCTGGGCAGAGGCATCCAGGCAATCATTCCAGGAGCCGTAGCTGTACCAGATGGTTACTGCTGAGTTCACCTCAAAGCCAAGGCCTGTCACAGAGCACTGGAAGGAGCCTGCTCCAGGAAGGTGAGCTCTGCAAACARGAGAGGAGAACAGGGTTATGCCATGCATGACTGATACTGTAAGGAAGGGGGTTCTGCTTTGYTCAACATCTCCTACCGATAACTGGGGCCGTCATTCAAAAAGCTCTGCATCTCCTCTGGCGTCACTTTTGGAAGGAGCTGTAACACAAGCAATGCTACTTTGAGATTGAATCAGATGTTGCATACTGGATATAGCTGACTGGAAGGGGTCTGGGAACTGCAAAGCAGGATGCAGCATGGCCCGGAGTTGTGAAGTTCCCACATTGCTGTGGGAAGACTCCTACTTACTGCTGTGCCACTTTCTTTGAGGGAGACACTGGCTTGCAAGGAATGGTAAAGGTGGCACTTGGGGCATGACTGTGGTGGGGAGCCCTTACCTTCCTCACACAWTGCAGGCATGTTTCTTGGGTGAAAAACCCAGCTTGCACTGGCTTTCCTAGAAAGGAGAACATAGTGGAAACCACTTTTAAGGAGACATAAGAGAAGACTTTTTGATAACATCAACACATCAGCAACAATAGGTGTAGTCCTGGCACCGCAATTCTTCCAGGGAGTTGTGCCAGTTTGGTCTGTCCTCAGGGTGATGTCCGTTTGCCAGCATTAAAGGCAGCCAGCATCAGCTTCTGCCACCAAACAGTGCAGTGGCAGCAAGGGACCCCAGTGWCCCCAGTGATGGCCATGAGTGTGTTGCATGGGGGCTCCCATGACATAGCCCAGAGAGCTACAGTCATGGTGGCCTCCTCCCCAGGCCYRGGGTCCTCCTCACTGGTGTCCCAAGCCTTAAATTGAATTTATATACTTCCACCAGCACCACTGCACCAGACTGTCAGCCTCAGGCCTGAAGAAAGGAAGGCACTATGATTTTACCTGAAAGAGAACTGCCTTGAGCGAAGCTCAAATCATCTTCGTCATCATCATCATCATCCCCTGCAACATAACAGACACTTAGGGGAGACCTCAGTTGCCAGGACATGTCAAGAGAACTTTCCCCTCCACCACCTTTCCCATTTACGGCCCACTGACCTCCTCTGGGAGCACCTGGGACACCTGACCAGCCTTTCTCACTCCTCCCTCTGCTGCCCAATAGCTCCATATTGATACCTGCAAGATAATGCAGCCCTTGCACTGTGTCATTCTGTCTCACAATTGCAGATGAATCATCGTTGGCCAAATTCATCCAAATGTGGACAAGGAAGGAGTAGGGGAAACTCCTTCATCCCCACTCTGCACCTGGGACAGACCCTTGGGGCGAGTGGTCCCTGGGGTGGGCAGTTCCTGCGCTGCCGGCTCTCCTGGACCTCTATCCACAGCC